TCACGCTTCATGATCCCGCCAGTGCTGCTCCTGCGGGCAGAGGGGAGCGCGGCAGCACCCGTCAGTGCCCAGCAGTGCCCGGTGGCACTCATCAGTGCCCGCCAATGTTCAGCGGTGCCCAGTGGCACCACTGGCACCTCTTGGTGCCCAGTGGCCTCCACTGGTACCTGATGGCACCCACCAGTGCTCATGGAGTGCCACTGGCAGCTGGCACTTCCTGGCATCTCTCAGCACCCATTGGTGCCCACTAGTCCCCATCACTGTCTGGTGATACCCAGAGGTGACCTGTGGTGGCCATCCGTTCCTGCTGGCATCCAGTGGTACCCAGCAGTACCCTTGGGTGCCCATCAGTCCCCAGTGGCACCTGCCAGTGCCTGCTGGCTCCGTGCCCATCCCATGCCCCTGGCCCCTCACCGGCAGTCGCTGCAGGCCCGCTGGGACTCCTTCTGTCGGTAGCGGCAGATCAGTGCCCAGATGAGGAGCCCGAGCAGACTGAGGAGCAGCAGGGAGCCCAGGATGGAGCCCACGATGATGCCCACCTTCTTTTCTCCTGCCACGGTAGTACACTCTGTCACCGCCAGCCTCCCCGCTGGCTGCCCACTGGTCACCATGCCCCCGGTGCCAGCCTGGCACACAGAGCCAGCCCCCGGCAGCACCCTGCCTGCACGGGCCCCCCACAGTGACACTTACTTGGCACAAGTGTGAGGTTGATCTGACAGGTGGAGTAGCCCACACGGTTGGTGACGCGGCACTGGTAGACACCTGCGTGCACCTCCGTCAGGCTACGGATGATCAGGTCGCCAGGAGCCCGTCCTGCAGGGGCAAGAGGTGGTCCTGTCAGCCCCAGTGCTGCCCCACTGGCACCCACACCCTCAGACACAGGCACACACAGACACGAACATGGTTGCATAGTGTTGTGGGCACCCACAGAAAAGGACACTCCACCCACCCCCAGCAGAGCCCCCCAGCTCCACCAGTACCCACCTTGGATGGTACCGAAGGGCAGGCGTCCTCCGCCATAGCCGCTGGCCAGCTTGGCCCACTGGTAGGCAAGGGGGGAGGCTCCCCCCTGACTGTAGCACCGCAGCACCACGCTGTTCCCCTCGATCACCTCCCCCTCGGCCCAGCACTGAGGGGAAGCTGGCTTCTCTGTGAGGAGACAAACATCATCAGTACCAGGACCACCAGGGGCCACCAGCCCTGCCCAGGAGGGGGACATGGAGGGGATGTGGGCTTACCTTCCACAGTGACAATGACCTCATGCACCGCCACGGTGTTTTTCTTCACCCGACACTGGTAGGTGCCGGTGTCGGAGACTTGCAGGTCAGCCAGGCGGATGGAGGCGTCGTACTGGCTGGGGTCATTCTGCACGAAGGCCACCCGGTCCTGCAGCCCTGAGCCACTGCCATAGTTGACGTGGTGGTCCTGGTAGGACAGGAACTGCGGGGAGAAAGCGGGGAGACTGGGCAGGGGGGGATTCCAGGGCTGCTGGCTGGGAAGAGAAATGCCCTGCCCAGTGCCTGCTTGCCCTGCCTGCCCTGTCTGCTCTGCTGGGCTTTGCCTGGTCCTTCCAAGCCCTGCTTTCTCTTCCAGGGCCTTCCCTGCCCTGCCAGACCTTGTCCTGCCTGTCCCTGCCTGCTTGACTGGGCTTCATTTGGTCCACCCCTGCCCTGCCTGCCCTGCCTGCATGGTGGGGTGGCAGCTGCCAGAACAAGTGACACTCACCACTTTCTCCGGGCCAGGCCGCTCAGGCGTGATCTGGATCCATTCAATGCCCACACCCTGGGGACCGTTGTCTTCAGGTTCGAGGACGTAGGGGCAGCCCAGCTTCACTGAGTCTCCCTTGGCAAGGTACAGCACCTCCCGGCCTTTGCCATTGATCCTGACGGCCAGGAGGAGAGCTGGGGGAAAGAACAGCACCCATTGCACTAGCTGAGGAGCGCAGGGACACCCCAGACCTACTCCCCAGTGCACCCTGTGGGGAGCAGAGATGGGGCAAGGACCATATGCCAGGGTTGGTCACCCCACAGGGTGTCCCAATGGGTGGGAGCACCCATCAGGACTGGCATCTGATGGGTCCCATGAAGCTGCATCGGTGGGCTCAATGCCACCTGCCCAGCTGTGGCCAACACAGGTGGGTGTCCAGGCAGGACCAGCCTTGGCTGCAGGTTCTCTGCTGACCATGGAGTCCATCCAGCACACTGAGGTGCCCCGCAGCTGGGCAGAGACCCCTCCATCCTCGCCAGCATCACCACAGGAGCAGGTCCAAATGCAAGGATCTACCAGCGCCTACCTGGCATGAGACCCAGGAGCAGGAGCAGGCTGGCGCCGTGCCCTGCCATGACGCTGCAGCCGTGCCGGGCGGTGAGGAGGAGTGGGAGCGGAGGAGGCTCGGAGGCGACGGGGCAGCCGGCCGTGCGGGGCTGCTTTTACATGCTGGGCTGGGGCGCTCCTCCCTGTGGGGCGGATGCCTTTGGGATGACTGAGTGGCTCCAAGCTGTGCGTGCGATGCCGCCCTGCTCCACTCCCTGCCTGCTAATTAAGCATCACCATGCTATGGGCTCCCATCCAGCCGGGCCTGGACCAGGGGCACTGCAGACAGCAGGGCTTGGGGACACCATCCTGCCCTGGTGCACCTGGAGCAGCAGAGCAAGGACCAGGGGGCCATGGACCCCACAGTGCCCAGTGGTTGGTACCCTGGTGTGGGCACGGGTGGGATGAGTGTGGCCAGTGGGAAGGGGCTTCCTGGGACAGTGCATGAGCAGCTGGACCGTGGCCGAGCACTGCAGCTGCCTGAAATTTCCAGCTTGGTCCCATGCAGGTCCTGAAAGGATTTTGGTCTTGAGGCAGAACTGAGTAGCTGGAAGAGCTTAAAGGTGTGGTTTGACCATGGGCTTAAGCTCTTGCAGATCTCTCCTCTGGTCCTGCCCCCTCAGTGAGTAAGCATGGGGCTGCCGTGCCCGTGCAGGTCCATTGGCACCCACCAAGCCCATGCTGGTGCTGATGGCACTGCTGAAATGCAGACAGAGGCCTGGGTGGTGCTCCAGGCCACGGGTCCCTGCATGGGATGTGGTGGCGTGCCAACAACAGGGCCCGCACACCCTGGTCACAGCCAAGGGAACAAGTAGTGTGGCTGGAGAAGGCTGGGACAGCCAGAAGGGAGGAGGAGAGGGGTCAAAACCTGCTGGGATCTGAGGGCAGGATCTGGGGAAAAGGATGCTCTGCAGCAGATGGAGCAGTTGGAACAGGGATGCTTGGCAGCAGATGTTGGGGGCCACCCTCAGCCCCATGGAAAGCCCCAGTCCTGGGCATTCCCCATGCCCGTGTCCCTTGGAAGGGCTGGGCTGGCCAAGACCCATGCTGGGCTGCTCTGGTGCTGTGGGCCAGGCCCCATGTCCAGCTCACCTGTGCCATGCCCTGCAGCACAGCTCAGCCATGCTGGTGCTTTCCAGACCTGGACTGCCCCAGCCGGCTCAGCCACACCGCCCAGCCGGTCCCAAACACTCCCCGGGGCCAAGAGCTGCTCTATTTACTGGCCCCAAGCTGAGCTCACCGAGGTCAGTTAACCCTTCCTGGCCCTGCGATGGGCCTAGCACGTGCTTCCCCGCGTCTGTGATTTTAGGGCCCCGCGCGCAGCCCCAGGGCAGCACCGACAGCAAGGGCCGAACACCGGGGCCGCTCCTGCCGTGGCCGGGCCGTGGCTCAGCATGGCTCCGGCGC